ACGTACCTGACACCAAGGACGTCTGTATCCAAGGGCGACGCACCTGACTGATTTAGGATCTGACGCCTGACAGCCACACTTCAAACGGCCTCCTGCTACCGCCACTTGCCACCGTCGTTACTAGCCGCAGAGACGGCTCCGACAAAAGGAGCAGTGGCGGTTCTGTCCGGCCAGAGGAATTGACATCCGAACTGGCAGGAGTTCAGAAGTAATCATGCTCGATCTGACGGGAGCCTGGAAGTGAGTGCGCGAGGTGGTTATAAAAGGCTCCTACCCCCCAGGAACGAGGTATGCTAACTTTTGCGCTATCTGGTCTATCTTGCCTTTGAAAGACTTTAACTTGAGCTTCGGAGCCCTTACGCCGGGTTTTCCCCAGAGCTTCTCTTCTCCCTCCGTTTCAGGTCCCTGCCACCCAGTTTAGAGGCAAGATCGTTGACAGCTAGGATCGGCCGGATTGTGCATCATCACTTTGGATTCCAAAACAGAGATGGAGAGCAAAACATGGATATTGGAGGGCAAAAAAAAAAAAAAACTTCTTCCTTGAAGGTCGCCGGAAACGACAGGGAAACTTGTTCGTTCTCCCGTTCTCCCTTCGCAATAGCAGGGAAACTCGAAAAACAGTTTGTGAAGAGACTCGAAAGGCTGAATTCTTTCGAAGAGGCTCAAAACCCCCGTCCGTTCTCCCTTCACAACATTCCATCTCATGGGCTTCACAACATTCGAAGGTCGTCATCCTTACCTTGGACGAATGTTGAAGATGGAAAGAAGCGCCTTGGACCGGCCGTTGGTTCGAGGACGACGCTTTACGACACGATGGAAGGGAAAACGAGAAAACTCGGTTTCTTTCTTTTTCTAGGTTAGTAGGTAATGGGAGAAGTGGGAGGATGAAAGGGAAGACGAAGGTTGAAGAAGTGATTCGAGAGAGGATGGAAATCGGGCACACCTGTGTCATGCACGAATTGTTTTCGCACAAAGTGACATGTGCGAGTTTACTGGAGTCCCGATTTGCACGCTCAAATCTCTCTCACGTGAAGGCACTATTCTACTCGCACGAGTAGAGTCCATTTAGCACAAGGAGAAAGCCGGCATTCCGCATTAAAATATATAAATATATCGATATGATGCCTTTCCGGTATCATAGGTAAGATCACTATGACGCCGGAAAGGTAATTTATGATGGCAGTGTCGTGTTACACTGCTATCAGTTTGACAGCGGAGGACACAGTTCAGATCACAGCAGATCCGAAATGAAACGAACGACATGATGGCAACATTTTAGGAATTTATTATGACTTGGACAGAAGTCTAAGCCATTGGATCAAATAATCCAACGGTTATGATAGAAACCCTAGTCGCTCGGGCTTTAGAGAGGCTTTTTAAGACGAGTAGTCTCGCATTTCTAACCCTCTTGCTTGGAACAAGTCTCTCCTCTCATACTCTTGTGAGAGGTTTTTACGAGGCGACCTCAGTGTTTCTTCTGCTTCGAAAGGTAAGCCCCATGCTTTGATTTCTTACTTTTAGTTCTTCTTAGTTGATGATTCTGCTATATGCAACTCTTGGATTGTTATTTGTTAATCTATAACTATACGAGTATGAAGTATCATTATTTCATCTGTTGTATTTTTTTTTTTCTCCCAGGAATTTCGAATTAAATTTTTAGTATTTGGGCGTTAAGACCCTTTTATGTCTTCCATTTTAGTGATACACAGGATTTCTTTTCTCGTATTTTGATTGTTTCGGTTCCTACGAATCCATTCCTTTACATGCCTTTATAGTTTAGGAGATTTTACTTTGCAAATGAATGTTCTGAGCTTCGTCTATATCAGTTAGCTTTTTCCATGAATACTCTGGATCTGGAGACTTAGATCCGATTTCTTTGTTGCTAATCTCATCCTGCTTATGTACTTTAGGGCTTCATAACTTCTAATTTTTTGTTTTTTTTTGTGGAAATTATGTATGATTTGCATGTTTCTTTTAGTATTCATATTACAATCCTGAGCTTTGACCGTTTTAATCTCTGCTTTAGATGTTCTTTACAGGCTGTGTCTGTTACCATCTTCTTATTGCAGATTGATAAATATTCTTTATTGTTTTTTCTTTTTCCGAATGTGCAGTTTATTGTTTTTCTCCCCTAAACGATCATCATGGGTAAGGAGAAGGTTCACATAAACATCGTGGTCATCGGTCACGTCGACTCTGGTAAGTCGACGACCACCGGTCACCTTATATACAAGCTTGGAGGTATCGACAAGCGTGTTATCGAGAGGTTCGAGAAGGAGGCCGCTGAGATGAACAAGAGGTCATTCAAGTACGCCTGGGTGCTTGACAAGCTCAAGGCTGAGCGTGAGCGTGGTATCACCATTGATATTGCCCTGTGGAAATTCGAGACCACAAAGTACTACTGCACTGTCATCGATGCTCCCGGGCATCGTGACTTCATCAAGAACATGATCACTGGAACTTCCCAGGCCGATTGTGCCGTCCTTATCATCGACTCCACCACTGGTGGTTTTGAGGCTGGTATCTCCAAGGATGGCCAGACCCGTGAGCACGCTCTCCTTGCTTTCACCCTTGGTGTCAAGCAAATGATCTGCTGCTGTAACAAGGTATCATTGGAAATTAACATTTTAGTCTTTTTAAGGGAGCATTGGCCTTTGAAATGAATTTCTGTTACTGATGATTTCATTCTTCAATTATGATATGTGTAGATGGATGCCACCACCCCCAAGTACTCCAAGGCAAGGTATGATGAAATTGTGAAAGAAGTGTCCTCCTATCTGAAGAAGGTGGGTTACAACCCTGATAAAATCCCCTTCGTTCCCATCTCCGGTTTCGAGGGTGACAACATGATTGAGAGGTCGACCAACCTCGACTGGTACAAGGGCCCAACCCTCCTTGATGCTCTGGACATGATCAATGAGCCCAAGAGGCCCTCAGACAAGCCCCTCCGTCTCCCACTCCAGGATGTCTACAAGATCGGTGGTATTGGAACTGTTCCAGTGGGTCGTGTTGAGACTGGTATCCTCAAGTCCGGTATGGTCGTCACCTTTGGTCCCACTGGATTGACCACTGAAGTCAAGTCTGTTGAGATGCACCACGAGACTCTCCAGGAGGCCCTTCCCGGTGACAACGTCGGTTTCAACGTGAAGAACGTTGCCGTCAAGGATCTCAAGCGTGGTTATGTTGCCTCGAACTCCAAGGAAGATCCTGCCAAGGAGGCTGCCAGCTTCACCTCCCAGGTTATCATCATGAACCATCCTGGGCAGATCGGAAATGGATACGCCCCTGTTCTGGACTGCCACACTTCCCACATTGCTGTCAAGTTTGCCGAGCTACTTACCAAGATCGACAGGCGATCCGGTAAGGAGCTTGAGAAGGAGCCCAAGTTCTTGAAGAACGGCGATGCCGGGCTTGTTAAGATGATTCCCACAAAGCCCATGGTGGTTGAGACCTTCTCTGAGTACCCTCCACTCGGTCGTTTTGCTGTGAGAGACATGCGTCAGACGGTGGCAGTCGGAGTCATCAAGAGTGTCGATAAGAAGGACCCATCTGGTGCCAAGGTCACCAAGTCCGCTGCCAAGAAGTCTGGCAAGTGAACGGTGTGGTTTTAAGTCTGCAATGTTTGGGAGGGTTGTCCATGGTTACATTCGATTTTGGTTTTCTTGTCATTGCTTCTGTTGCTGTATCTTTTCTCTCCCCTTTCTATTCTCGCTTTCGAGTAAGGTGTTGAGCAGTCGGAAGCAAAGCTGGGTGCTTGACAGGCGGTGGTGAAGGATATATGCTTGTCTTTTTTATTGGGGGGGGGGTGTTCACAGATTGAGTTATTTTACGGCGTCGTGACCCGAGGAAAACAGTTTTAGCAGTAGAATTTAGACTTTAGTTTTCAATTTAATGATTGGAGTTGATAATATAGGGTGATTTTCTCGATTTGACTTGTTATATGTGCACTTGTGATTGCTCAACAAAGTTGATAGGTCTTGATAGATTATAGAATAGAGTTTCTTGCAGCGGACTCTACATATCGTGACAAGAGTGGCTCAATTGATAATATTTATGGTTTTTGATGGTTTGACCATCTTTTCCTCCAAGCGGCTCGTGGAGGACTTGCACTACTGTCGGGTGCCAACAGTCGACCACCCTCTGACTTCTCAATCGTTTAAGGTCTTGTTATCAAGTTTCAGAATTCCCACCCACTGTAGGCTTTTGTATTCCCCTCTTAGTTTCTACTTAAGGCTGCGTTTGACCGGTGTAGTTAAACACTCTGGTCCTTGGTGCAAATTATACATCGATGTGGATTGAATTGCGTTGAATTTCATCTATGCGTGGACAACTATTTACACCACTTTCGAACCCAGCATAAGATATGTAAAATGGTAAGCTGTGTAATTTGCAAAGTACCCTCCCTGAACCCACCTAGCTTATTGTCTTCCCTAATATTCCAAGTTCCAACGATCGGTTTCCTAGTCAAAGAAATATCTCAAGATATTTGAAAGAATTACCCCAACGCGAGTCTTGGCCATTGAGTCGATGTATAGAGTTGTTGTCTTGGCTTTTAGAAAGTTTATCTTAAAAGCAGGTTCCATTCATGGAGTGCCGTGGTTGGTTCAGAAATCTTATGCAAGTGATGCTTAGAAAGTTTCTCGTTTTTCTGACGCTCTCAATTTTGAAATTGGGATCTGTTCCTCAATTGGTTTCCATCCATCTCGTTTTACTGACGCTCTCAATTAGGAATTGGGATCTGTTCCTCATGGAGTCGATGTATGTGTGTGAGGAGGAGCAGATAGGGACTCTTCAATTAGAACTTGGCAATGCCGGAATCCATGTGGGCCGCATGGCTGGCTTCACCAGGCTACCACCCAAACTTGATAATTAGAAGTAATTTCAGCATGTTATATGAGACGTTTCTGTAAAAACATGTAACCACTTATTCAATGAACACTTATTTTTCAAATAAACACTCTTTAGACTTGGCCGGAATTATATAGGCTCCATTTTGGAATTACCAGCGCTGTAGCCCCGGATTGAAGGTATTCCCTTTAGTCTCAATTACTCAATTATAATGTCATTCTTGACAACGTGGTTCAAAAGTCTAAAAGTGATTCATTCAATTTTTCTAACCTTGCCATGAGTGATAATAAGAATTTCCAGTTTATAACTCCTTGAAAACCTGGGCACTTGGATATAAGCAAAGTGTGCATCTCTACAAAATTTAGGCTACTACTGATGTAAGAATATAAATTCATGTTCTGCTGTTGGTATTGCAATACAGTCTTGCAAACCAACCATGCCGTGTCCCTGTTAATACTAATGATTTGATGAGTTTTCCATGATCTTTTTTCAACACTTCTCCTGCTTTCCAGCTTCAAGCTCACAAACTCACTATTATTAAATGCATTTTTCATGCAAGAAGGCAACAGCTCTTCATTCTGTCAAGAGTTCCTAAACTTTATTAAAATTTTTGAATATCAATCCTCATTAACAATGTACACTTTACAGTTTGGTTTGAAATTGAGTTTCATAAACTGGTCTATAGGCATCATCTCCTAGGGTTTCAAACCCTTTGATGCCATAGAGAAAACATCATTAAGAAAGAGATGGATTCACCTGCCAAGTCACCACAAGTGTCTCTCACAGTCTATCTGTGATTTAGCTTCTTCTTTCTCTGCTTCACTCGAAGCAAATGCCTTGAGTTACTCAACATCCCTTTGATTAGGTAGAAGGGAAGTCATATCTGTCACTTGGTAAAAGTCTGGCCGATACCAAGTTTAAAAATCAACATGGGCAATGGTTTTTTTTTAGTGCAATCTATCTACCATCAAATTCAAATCCATGGTTTCTACTGAAAAACAAGCTTTATAAACATGGTTAAAAACAGTATTTTTGTACCATGCTTTCACAAGAGCATGAAAACATAAGGAGATCATGTTTTGGGAAAAAAGAGGAAATTTATCAGCTGACCCCATATAATTGGGATAAGGCTTAGATGATGATGATGTTTTAGCAAACATATGAAAAATATATAATTTAAATTGTCATTGAACAGCTGATATAGTTGAGCGCGCACATACACACACACATTTGGACTCTTTTTTTTCCCATGATTTGTAAGTGGTGTCTAAGCTTCATGTTAAGATCTATACGAGCCTGAGTCGAACTCGGGTCAATACGGATAGTTTAGAGGTATGCTTGGAGCTATGTTGTGTAAACATAAGGACAAGCTTAGTTTCTTATCTTGTTTTAAATCCATTAGGACAGCAATTTTTGCTTTTCCAAGCAACCACAGAGTATTAAATAAGTATCATCTTTATTATATTAAAGCATATTTGTTTTTGGCCTAAATGCCATCATCCAATGTTGGTCCTAGCTATCTGGGGTCTTGGGAGGGGTGGAATGGATATGGATTTAACCTTCTGCATTTTTTTGGAGGGCACAAAGTGGCCATCAAGTAAAGGTTTTCAGTATGAAAATAAAAATAAAAAACTAGAAATACACTTTACTCTGTGCTCTCATCCTCACCATCCCTCCTTATATGGATAGTTTTGCTAAGTTTGTTTATTTGTTTTTTTTTTTTAAATTTTGACATATGCTCTAAATTCTGAACATACTTGTTCGGCATAGAAGAACATGCTATATTTAAATATACTTTGAGAAACTTTCTAAATGTTACTGTATTTGGGATTTTTAGCACCCTTAGATAGGTTGATAAAGTAAAGCATCTTTCTATCAAAACTAAGAACTCATTCATCTATCTTATACTTATTATAAGGCCTCAAACACTTCAAGATACCAGGAGAAGGAACTTCTTTCCACGTTGGTAGTTATTATAACAAACTGCATCTGAGAAACAAATCACTCTAAGCATAAAAAATTCAACTACAAGTATTCCTCAACAGAGTGCATTGGCTTAAATAAATGTCTAATATTATCCCAAGAGATATTTGAAATGGTGAAATGTATTTGCAATACCGGGTCTATATATACATGATATTTACATATAGAATTCTAACACTCAGTTTTCACATCAATCTCTTTCATTGTGGCAAGTATCAACATGGTAATTAATTCTTTGCCACATTTGCCACATGGCAAAGAAGTGACATTCCATCAATGCATATATGAAAAATTTCAAGGAAATTTGTCTATCGATCACAGGAAATATGCAATTGATAGTGAGGTAGCACGGGTGATAAGACCACACACGTGGCCAATCCATTGTCTGCTCCCAGAAATCTGGCCCCTTGTGTGTAGGGGTGTCAATTGAACTGGATTTGGTTCAATCCGGTCCAGTCCAATGTGAGTCCATTACAAATGGACCTGGTCCAATCCAGTTCAATGAATATTTTGGATCATTTTGGATCGGTCCAGAGAGTGTCCAATCTGTTCAAATTCCTGTTAATTTAGATTGGTTTCAACTCAAACCTGGTCCATTGACACCTATATTCTTATCTTCTATCAATGGGCCAGATATTGGTACAATCCAATATAAATTCATTATGGACAGACCAGGTTCAATCCATTATGTCATATTAGTCCATTCAGTCCATCCAAATTCAATATATTTTTTTGGTTCATCCAATCCGTCCAAATGAATTTTGATTTGGACGGAATCCAAATCAAAACCAGTCCATTCACACCCCTACTTGTGTGGTAAAAAATAAACCGATTTCACAATATGTAAATTTTCTTGAAAATAAACTTATTTCACAATATGTAAATTTTCTGGATTAGTTATCAGTTACAGTTCCCTCATAGGAAGGGACCAACCTACTATATTTATCAACCAAAAGTAAGGATAAATGAACTTAAATAAATTGTTAAACTAAAAACACAGAAAGAAATTGATGAAGCTTACCTTGATATGTCAATAACCTAAGGAAATTATGTCAGCAAAGCAAACACAACGATGAAGCTTACCTTGATATTTTACAACTTCCTCTCCATCATAAAAGAGCTTAAATGCCGGGTATTAATGGATGATCACTTGTGTACATACTTGTTTATTTGTGCTGCAGTCAATTTGCCCTATTTCTATTTCATCATCCGTTTCCTTGGAACACCCAAGTCCTCCCATAGAGTTCTACCAAAAAAAGTCCTCCCACAGAGAACCCAGGTTCTTATTGAAGCCAACTTTACCATTATCAGGCTATCAGCAACGAAAAAACATAAAAAAAACACCATAACTCTAATATGTTTATAAAATAGAGTGGGATCTGATGGTGTGCGATTTAGAAGCTCCTATATGGAGATTTGCTTGGACGTATTCGTGTGGCGAGTTAGATCAATCTACAAAACTGTGCTCAGAGGGACCGGGGTGGAAGACCCGGTGAGGTCGCTCCGATGCTTAAGTCAGTATTTTGTGTATTTGCGAGATAAGTATGAATGCTAGAGAGTTTGGGTGTAAGTAATTGCGTGTACCTTCGCCTTGAGGATCGATGCTCTTATATAGTTGACTAGTCGTGAATCTTACGAAAAGGCTTTGGGATCTCCGGGCTGCATAGATAAGATCTGTTCCATTTTTGAAGGAGAGCAATGCACCAATTGATAAGGTTTATCACTTTCCTCCGATTCGGGCAGTGTGAGGATGAGCCCTATTACTAAACGTCGTGATCCCGGGAAATTCGGAGTCCGTTGGGGAAGCTTCTGGAGTCGATTACGTGGCACTTCAGTTCTTTGGCCCTAGACTGGTACTTCGGTTCTTCGGCCCCGAACTAGCACTTCGGTTCTTTGGCCCCAAACTAGCACTTCGGTTCTTTGGCCCCAAACTAAATTGGGTGCCGAGGTGCCTTTATGCCGAGGTGCTCAAGCTCCCGGGCTTCCGAGCTGCTGACAAGGCTCCTTTGCTGAGTTGTCATCCTACTGGCTGATCGCATCCACGTGTACCTCAGTCGCTAGGTTGGGCCAAATCACTCCTCATCAATTGCCCCCCACTCCCCGTGACA